TTGACGTTTTATGTCATACTATACCATGACGTCTTTTTGGCATTTTTATGCCTTACAATACAATTTCAATTGATGCCTTACCATACTATGACGTTTTTATGACCTTTTATGCCTCATTATGCTATGATGTTTTTTTGACCTTTTATGCCTTAATATATCGTAATGATTTTTTGACGTTTTGTCATACTATACTATGATGTTTTTTTGGCATTTTAATGTTGTGCTATACTATGTCGTGTCATTCCTTACCATACTATGATGTTTTTATGTCCTTTTATGCCTTGATATACTATGATGTTTTTTGGCATTTTTATGTCATACTATACTATGACGTTTTTTGGTATTTTTATGCCTTACTATACTATGTCATTTCATTCCTTACTATACTATGATGATTTTTGGCATTTTTATGCCATACTATCTATGACGTTTTTTGGCATTTTTGTGCCTTACTATACTATGTCGTTTCATTCCTTACTATATAATGACGTTTTTCTGTCTGACTATACTGTGGCATTTTTATTTTTTGCCATTTTTGTGCCTTACAATACTATTGCATTCGATGCCTTACCATACTATGATGTGGCATTTTTTGACATTGTTATGTCTTACTATACTATGACGTTTTTATCACTTTTTCTGCCTTACTATACTATGTCATTTCATTCCTTACTATACTATGATGATTTTTGGCATTTTTATGCCATACTATCTATGACGTTTTTTGGCATTTTTGTGCCTTACTATACGATGTCGTTTCATTCCTTACTATATAATGACGTTTTTCTGTCTGACTATACTGTGGCATTTTTATGACATTTTATCCCTTACTAAACTGTGACGCTTTTTTGACAATTTATGCCTTACTATTCTGTGGCATTTTTTGACATTGTTATGTCTTACTATAATATGACGGTTTTATGCCTTACAATACTATGGCATTTTTATGCCTTATTATACTATGACATTTTATGACATTTCATGCCTTACTATACTGTGACATTTTTTTGACATTTTATGACTTACTATAGTATGACGTTTTTTGAAGTTTTCTTGTCTTACTATACTATGATGTTTTTATGCCTTACAATACTATGATGTTTTTTGATGTTTTTTTGCCTTACTATATTATGACGTTTTTAGACGTTTTCATGTCCTATTATACTATGATGATTTTTATGCCTTAATATACTTTATGTCTTATGTCTCTAAACTGTGACGTTTTATACTATGACATTTTTAAGCCTTAGTATAATAAGCATTAATTAATAGCGTTGCTTGGTAGTGCAGTGGTTAGACCTGTTGCTTCACACTGAAAGGGATATGGTTTTGTCTCTAACTCCAGTTTTCTGTTAAAAATGTAAATCAGAGCATGGATTTCCAGCACAGCTTCATTTATACTTCAACGATGCGATGAAAATTGGAAAAAGTCTGAAGAGGCCAAAACTCCAGCAACACTTAAATGCATGTATAAAGACCAACTTTGTTGTGAGACCAGTGCATTTCAGCTTGTTGCCTCCGTCAGAATCATCATACCAAACAATACAGTTGTTCTTTACAAGTTATCAGTCTTGCAAATGCTTCCTTTAGCACCACAGAGGACATCATGCAACTGTTTCCACAAGCCTAGTTGTTCGCTGCAATACCAGTAAACTGAGCTTTACAATGTACAATCAATCAGTTCATCTTTCACAGAACTAACAGGAGTCTACCAGACCCATAATTCATGTTTAGTGTAGCCTTGTCCAGTGTTTGTTGGACAACTCGTAAGATCTGTCAGAAACATCATCCTGTCATTTTTGTCAGATGGCCATCACATCTCTCAGCTACTTTTAGATGCAGCCCTGAAAAACATAAGAATTTTTCAAGTCCAGCTGATCCATTAACATACTCTAACTGCTTTTCTTCTGCACTGATGCATCTCTTCACAGTTCTCTAGTTCCTTAAAACAAAAATACAAAAAATAGAATATAATTTAAAAAAAACATCCTTTGTCATTATTCAAATACTTAGCTCATCTTCAGGACTGTGTGGTTGGTGTTTGATCAGATTTCGTTGGCAGTGGTTGGTAACTAACAATCCCACAACTTTCATCTGATTTTATTTTAATGATAAACTTGATTGGTGCATGGAAACATGTGATATCACTTCTCTTGAACTGAGGCCTGCCTGCTTCAAACCAGTGCAATGGAAAAAATCAGATAGACATCTTTGATGTAAAATAACCACAGAACTTACAGAAAATTGTGTGTTCACACATGACCTCATCACTCATAATAAGACATTTTCTGGGCTCTTTTATTCTTTCATATGTAAGCTGCTATTTTTTATATTAAGCACCAGGAAATGTATATAAAGATGTGTTCTTTAGATCTGTTAGACTTGTGTTGCTACTGGAAAACATTTTATGCACTAGGCGTTAATAAAATACACAGCTGTTCTGTTAAATAAGGGATTGTGTAACAGTGTTGTTCATTAACAAGCTGTTTGCTGAAAATTATGATCAGCAGCTCCTCCAAAGAGACTAATAAAGCCACAATGATCATAAACTTTAAGGTGTCAGCTCGCTATTGCTGCTGCTGCTGCTGGGAAACCAAATGCAGAGTGTTTATCTCAGATGCAGATTATGAAGATCAAACATCACTTTGCATTTATTTCAGTGTTCAGATGCTGCAGTTGTTGAGGGTGTGAAGATTTGCTTAATCATCCATGTCACCATCCTCTCGTTGGCCACGTGTGCTGAACTTGAAGACATCTCGGAGGCTTTCATTTGTCACTTCTGACCCGAACTCCTCTTTCTGTCACACCTGTCACCTCCTGAGGCAGGTGTCCAGTCTATAGTGTGGTGCTTGCTTACTTCACTGCATCTGACATCTTCTCTGTCTTAGTTAAAGGCAGATATTGACAAGACAAACATGGAAATAATCACATGCGTATGATGCCGTCTTTTTTTAACCATGCAGTCAGTTGTACTCTCTTATCTTTATGGTGGATTTCCGGCACATTTGTCAGCCACATCCTGTGCCTTGACAGCCCACGCAAGCTTGTATCCCTCTATCAGACACAACAGACACACGACTCCAAAACTGGCCACCCACGCTTTATGACGCCACAACCTTTCCTTTTTTGAACAATTTTTCTGCTTCAAACATCATCAAACACATCATTTCTTGCACGGGAATAAAATTAGTGGCTTTTGTATGGCATCTTTTTTTCCTTTGCACGAGTGTAAAAAAAAAAAAAGTGATGAGCTCAAACATCCAACCACTTCCTTATTTTTAAACCAACAAGAACATCTGCACCGATCCATTCATTTGACCAGCGGCAGTAACGGCCCATCAGAGTGACGCACGCAATGCTTGAGAAATAGCGCTCTGGTCTGAACTGTTTCACCACAGAGGCTAGACTGAGTCCTACAGGCCCCTCTGTTTCCCCTTTTCAAAGCTCATATCTCAAAACTGACAGGCGGGAAACAGGACTGGACCAACAGGCACTTCTCTTCCCCTAGTTGTGTCCTACTACTGCAAATTGAGTGATCAAAACAAAAATCCACTCATTCCACTATCTTTTAATGATTTTTAATTTGACGCTATAATCAGTATGAAGTCACGTGTAAAGAAGCATGACAGGTTGGTTTGCTGTGAAAAAAAAACAATGGGAGCACTATATGAATGCAGTTTTGTTTTTCAATTAGCTGTCTCGAGTGAGGAGTTTATCATTTTCTTCTTTCAGTGCCCTGTGTGATGTGGTTCATTATGTGCTTTTAGAGCATGCAAACTCCTTCAAACCCGCTGCTGCACAGATAAAACAAATTCACCACTAAGTCCTTGAATCAACAGTGGTGTTTTTAGCACCAGGATGAGATCCAAACATTAGCAACAGCATTATTGACTATAGCCACCCCCCGCTTTCCTAACCTCCCACTGGGTTAATTGCTGAGCAACCAACTGCACCCTCCTTGTTTGGGCCGTCTGTCTGTTAAATGGCCCTTTCTTGTATTGTTTTTAGTGCACCGTCATCTTGACTAATTATCACCTCGTTATGCGTTCAGCCCATTCGATCTACACCCATGTTTCAAGCATCAGCAAGCTTGCATAACAATCCCTAATGTCAGCGTCCCTTTTCAGTCCACCCTCTTCTCACAACAGTCAGAAGAGAGCATGAAGAAGAGGACCCCGGCTCGAACACATGGCCGCATACCATCCCTCGCCATCAACACTCTTGACGCATCTGTGAATGAGCGGCAGGGGACAAAAGGGATCAGCGCTGCAGAGCCAACAGAGAGAGTGACCACCATGACCTCATGGGTCAGCTGGGAGCCAGGAATGAAAAGACTCCAAGCAACCCCCGCCCAACACACATGCACGCACGCACGCACACATGCACACACCCACACACACACACACACACACCCAGTGAGCTCTTGGACAACTGAAGCTGCCATGGGAATATGGGAGCGTGGAAGAGGAGGAATCAGCAGTGGTGTGCAGGAGCTGAAAGAAAACGGTTGTGTTGGAATTTTGGGTCATGCCTTTCTCCGCACATTCCTCACTATTCTCCCAACAATAAAGTGTGTCAGAGCCGATACAACAGCCTCCATTCTGGAGACTTCACACTACAAAAAGCCTCAAAGCATCTGAAACCGCACGGTAACCTCCAAAACTTGGGTGATAACGTTCTTAAATAGGAGGAAAAGTTGAAGGCTTACTAAATTTAACAGCACCACGTGGAGAAGGTCATATAGCCACTGGAGGGAAATTACAAACAGATTTGTGTGTACAATCAAGGTCTGAGTGCTAATTTAAGTTTGGGAGCAACAATTCCCATAGACGGCTGTGGCTTGTTGAACAAAACAGCTTTTCTTGCAAGTTCTGCGCAAAATAATTGCTCTATGTTTTATTTTTAGAGACCGTGACTTAGGCAGAAAAATAAGAACTGGATCAATTTGAATGATCTAAAGCAGATATCCAACTTACAAAATGTTGCTTTGCACAAACACATTCATGATCATGGTCATTTATTCAGCTGTCAAAATAAATGTCTTGCATGCAGTAAAAACTGAAAAATGCTTCATTCTGTACATATACCAAACATGTTAAAATAAATAAATAACTTAAAGAGGAAAACAAATGAAAACAAAGTTATGTACAGCTGTGAAACACTGAAGGCTACTGAATGTAGCCAAATGTTCATTGGTCTACCTATTCAAAGAAGGAGAGGTGCAACTGTAGAGCTTTTACACTTTGGTCTCGATTTCTTCACTCTTCCGGACTGCTTGCTCTGTTTTCTTTGGCAGTTTAGTTTGACAGTCACTGATGTTTTAAGTCTTTGGATCTGTTTAGGTGAACAGCTCACAGTTTGCTCTCCTCCTCCTCCAACGGACGATTCAGACCCGGGATGAATTTGAGGAGGCGCCTGCGGAAGCTCTTCGGTTTGGGCTTCCTCTGCAGCGAGTTGAATCCTCCCTGCTTCTCGCCAGAGGCAGAAGACGACGACGACGACCCCCTCATGTAGCTACGCGTGCTGGCGCTGCGGGTCAGATGCGTCTTGGCCGTTGTGAAGAGCTCGCTGGCCGGTCGGAGACGTTGTTGCCTGTGCGGCGGCTGCTGCTGCTGCTGCTGGTCTTTCTTTTTGTCTGCACTGCCGCAGTCTGAGTCCACGCTGCCGTCTGCTTGGTACAGGCAGGTCTGGTAGAGAGGGTCGTCCTCGGTGGCTGTGCTGAGAAAGCTGGCGCTGCTGCTGGTGCTACCGGTGCCACGCAAGGCTCTCTGAGCGGCGGGGCTGGGGGCGCCAAGGCTGCCGTACACACCTGCCGACTCCAGGGACTCGTACACTGCAGCATCACTCATTACTATACCTGCAGAGAAGAAGGGCAGAGTCAGGACAGTGGGTTATCACTGAACACACAGACAGGAAACTGTTATAACTGTTGCTGAGAAAAGGGCATTTATTGGTTTCAGAATATGTATTTTTTATATTTATGACTGTATAATATTTGTTGTGAATGCTAACTGCCTCCCGCAAAAGTAAAAAAACAAATGTATGTTTTAATCCTTGTTTTTTTTTGTGTTTCATACATCTACGGACAAAAGAAGGGTTAACATGGAGTGGATTGTTCTGGGGAAAGTAAACTGAATTGAACTGATATACAAGATAACCTACCATGAACAAGCCTCTGTTCTTGCACCATCAACGACCGATATTCATCCCACTTCTCATGAAGAGTTTGCTAAAAAAAGAAGGAAAGACATTTGTTAAGTGATTATGACAAGAAAACCACAACTGTACAGCGTAGAGTAGACAAAACAACTTAGTCAAAATGAAAAACAATGCTATAAAGATAAGCCATATTCATTAAAAAAAATTCCAAATTACTTTATTGCACCAAAGGGGAATATCCTCAAAGATCATGACGGTATGGGTGAAACATTGACAAATAACAGGAGTTATAGGTTCCGACTAAGAGGAAGATAACAAATGAGAGGGTACTCCCAGATACCACAAGCTGACACTCAGACTAACATGAATATGACTGAATCAGTGGTGATGGAGGTAGTCCTTTTTCAGTCAGTGTTCATAGACCACAACTATAACGTATTTAGTGAAGAATCAACATCTAGCAACATTTTCATCCCACGCGTGTCCAATGCAGCAGCAGGTTAATCTTTAAAATGTTGGATTAGTATCTCAGAGAGCGGCTGTGTTGCAGTGGATTACAGTAGGGACAGCTGCTGTAATCTTGGGGGAAAAGCTCGCTCACTTGAGCCACTTCACTGGCAGCTTTTTTAACAGCCATGAGGGAAGAATGTCTGCAGCGATCAGTGAGCCTGCCCGGGAAACTGCTGATGCAACAGGTGGTGGTGGCTGCTGGGCAGACAGGTGTGGAGGGAGGAGGGGAGGTGGTGTCTATATCTAGCATGTTAATATAATGTGTGCCTGTGTGTGTGTGTGTGTGTGTGTGTGTGTGTGTGGCTGCCGGACACAAAACCAGGCCTACTCACTGCTTACAAACAGTTAAAAAATGGCTGCAGCAACACAACCCACCTTCAGATACTGCAGCCGGGCCTCCAGCTCCGCTTTCCGGATCGAGTCACTGTAAACCGTCTCCAGCCTGTAAGTGAAAAACCAGAAGGCAACAGAGTTAATAAGTGTAACAGGAAGCACTTATAAAAACTACACACAAAAAAGAAAAAAAAAAAAAAGAAGACAACTCCACCATATAAAAGGCCCTTTTCATAAGACAGTGGTGGGAATGGGTGTGGTGAAACAGTTTAATAGTGGGAGGGGGGCATATACAATTTCCACTCAGACACTTCAGTGCTGCAAATCCTTTGAATCACATGAGTAGGGGGCTGCCAGCTTGTAGAGCTCGTTTTCACTCTAACACTTTATACGGACTCGAGTTGTAACTATAATTTGATGATGTCAGTCTATAAAGTCATTGCCGACACTGCAGCTCTTGATGCGGTCCACCCCACTTCTTTTGCAGCAGCTCTCAAAGTTCAGAGACCGGGGACCACGCTAACTGTCCTTTTAATCTTTTACAGGCAGGGAAGGGGGGTGAGGAAGAGAGTGTGGTTCACATTAAACATCCACTCAGCAAACTGACAGATATCGAATCGTAAAAAAAGACAATTGATGATGATGATAATTTTTTCTCTTTTAATGAAATGTTACAAAGTTGTGAGAAAAGCTGAAGGTGCTTTGTCCGACCAGTTAACGATAGTTGTCATTATTGATTAATCTGCTGATTATTTTCTTGACTTATCAATTAATCGCTTGGTCTATAAAAATAGTTAAAAATACTTGTCACAATTTCATCAAGCCTGAGGTGATGTCTGCAAATTTGTCTTCTGTCCAAACAATAATCTAAAATAGCCTGTGCATATTCTCATTTGTCCAGGTCATAGTATCCTAAAGGAGTTTAAATCGAAAAAACAACTGGACTTGATTATTTGTCTGGGAAGACGTTTCACCTCTCATCCAAGAGGCTTCATCAGTTCATGTACGCATCTGACCAGGCTGGGACTGGTCCAACTTTCTGGTGTGGAGACCCAGGTATCTAAAACCCAAAGATTCGGTTTACTATGATCTATTCAAAAACTGCAGATTCTCATCACTGAAATGCTGAAGCCAAGAAAATGTTTGGAATTTTGGTTAAAAAAAGACATAACCCAAAATAGTCAACAATTATTTTTATGTTCACTGACTAATCCTTGCAGCTCTGCAACTGACAGTGATGTCAATTTAAAGAAAAGCAGCGAATCCTTTTCCATTTCAGAAGATGGAACCAGCAACAGCTTTTAAGCTTTTTCACTAAACCAGTGACAAACTTTTCCTGTCATGCTCTCCTCACCATGTCTACTAATTTAACTTTTATTGACCATTAACAATATTGGGGAAACTTGTAAATCTTTGCCTCGTGTTACTCAGGAGTTACGACTTTGCCCAAACTTCCAGAGATTTAAGGAACAAAAGACTTTTGTGAACACTGACAATGAACTAGAGAAGAAAACACACTTTAATATGTCTCCGCTGTAATTTACATGTCATGTCTCCTGCTGAATACAGTTTTCTAACATGGGAACTTGTAGCTTTGTAAGCACCAGAACACTCTGATTTGCTCTGTGTTCCCACATTCATCTGATTCTTGCTATGCCCCCCCCCCAAGTCTGAGAACCACTGAGCTGAACAATTAATCAATTATTAAAACTGCCATCAATTTTCTGCCAAATCAACTAATTTTTTCAGCACTAGCAGAAAACATAAAAAAATTTCATTTCAAAAGATGTTGCTGTTGTTTTCTGGGAGTCTGTGTACCTGATTGTGTTACCGCAGGCCCTGATGAGCTGAACGATCTCTTTATGACGAAATCCCTCCACGGAGGCCTCGTTCACACTTGCGATGGTGTCCCCTGCACACACACACACACACACACACACACAAAGAGAAACACAACATGTGTGTTAACCAGCAGCCGTCTGGTCAGGATCCACTTCAATCCTCTTGTGGCTTCAATTACGACAAACTGCAGCAAACTGAAGCTTGTTTGATTCTAAATGAAACCTTGACACATGTGCAACACAAATGTGGAAAGCCATGTGTGTGCAGTCGTGGCATACGGCTCATCACTGAACTGCAGTCACCTCATGTGAATAGTTCTTTTTTTCAACATGTTAAAGCCATACAGCAGGAGTGAAACTAATGATTAGGTTCTATATTAATACTGTGAAAGTATCAAAGAGCTCAGTCCACAGAGAGATGCACACGTTCATTTTCTTTCGATCGACTAATCGGTGCTGTTACTGTGCAGTAGTTGTTTGTTTACCACTTCCACAGATGCAGAACGGTGTGACAGTGTGAAGTGTTAGTTATAAGTTGTGGTGTGGGCTCTCATGCGTGTGACAGTGGCCTTTGTGAGGTTTCGGCACAAAGCCTATTGTCCTCTTTCAAAAACGACGCCTGATCTGCCTCAAGCGATGAGGTCATTGTGTTCACAGCAAGACATGGGGAACAATAGAGCCAGAGCAAGCACGCGAGGAATGTAGGAAGTGAAACTGAAGTGACATACGCGGGCTGGATGAAGGAAGGAGGGAGGCAGAGACATCTTTTCTGACACACCGACTGAGACATGAAGTTCAAAGCGGCCGGCTTGTGACTGAGCGGTCACGAGTTTGAAAACCAGAGACAATTTATAGGACCCAAGCTGTAGACCGCTGCAGTGCAGAGAGAGCTGCTTCTCGTTATCTCACTGTCAAAAATATTTTCTTCATCTTCTATTCTCTGATAAAGACATAAGTGTACATGCTGCTTCTATCTCTCCGGACTGTTTAAAAACACAGACAAAAAAAGGAAGCGAGACATGTTTGCCAAATAAAAATAACACACCCTTTCAAACGGGTTTTTGAGAGGTTGTCTTTGCTTCACTCTATCTTGCACACTGGTGAGAGGAGCTGGCAAGCATGCGTTGGCTGAAATAGCCGCTCACTAAATTGTTTGTTGACTGGGAAATGAGTAGGCACACACTTCCCTAAACAGGCGGCTGAAACTCATGGGTGATTTTTGCTGACGTACAGTACACAAGTGTCAGCTGGGAAACACAAAAAAAGGACAAGCTGAACCAAAAGCTCCTGTCACGCTCACTTCCCCTCAGGTCTATTTCAAGTATTTTCCAGGTTATTTCAGGCTTGGATACAAATAAAAAAAAAAAAAAAGAGAAATACAAACAGAAACTCACCAACTTTAAGTCCTGCCTGCTGAGCCGGGCTGTCACCGTGCACCTTGCAAACAAATGTACACATCTCCACCGAGTTTTGGTCCTGATGGTGGAGGCCGTAAGTCTGAAAGAAACAGCAGATGAAATACTGAGCTAAAGAAAATGAAAATGCTTAACAAATACTTCCTTTCCTTTTGTATTCTTGACGTGTAGGAATTTGTCTTACAAAATTGTGACTGTCAGCAGTTGTGAAATAATGCAACACTGATAAACCACTGATTGACACGCTGAGGAAGCCATGACAGACAGTGCAGGAAACCAGATCATATCACCGAACAACCCGTGACGTGGCACAAGCATGCAAAGTTTGTTTCTCTTGTCTGATCAAACACAAAACACTGGTAGACACAAAACTGGCACTGAAATCAGCCACAATTACAAATCTGCTGCTCTCACACACCTCATGAAGAACCAGCAGTTCACCTTAATAAATGCTGAAAACTGTTGTAGCTATTTGTAATCTTTCAGAAACGCATCTGTGCCTTTGAACGCTCCAGTGGTGGAAAGTAACCGAGTAGTGTTTTGTACTTAAACACAATATTCAAGTGTTTGTACTTTACCTGAGTATGTTTGTTTTATGCTTCATTATACTTGTACTGCTCTGCATTTCAGAGGGAAGTACTCTTGACTCCATTAAAGTTGATCAGTTTCTTAATCAATCCATTAATAATTTGGTTTATTAAACTTTTATGAACAGTGCATATTCTTAAAATGTTTTGTTTTTTGTGACCAACCATCCAAAACACAAGGATATTCTGAAAAGAAAAGCAGCAAATGCTCAGCTGAAACTAGAGAACAGTTGGCATTAAAGCCAAAATGATAACTAATCAATTATTAAACTAGTTCATGATTCATTTTCTATTGAGCAACCAGCTCTATTATAAAGGGACATTAAGTATCCTTAAGTGCTTTAACACTAACTAACACTTTGAATGAAGGACCTTTGTTATTTTTATACTGTTAATACTTGCTACTTTCTACTGAGGTCAATGATCTATGTACTTCCTCCACCACTGGAAGGCTTCAATATTTTGTTGTCTTAGAAACAGTGTTTGTTACTTCCACATGTATTTGCAAGATCTTCCCTGTTTCAGTCACCGCAGCCTCTGTGCAAAAGGTACAGACAGACTTCCCCTTGTCACACCATTATCAGTCAGGCAACATGCTGCTGCTGAAGGAGTCTGACACTCAGCAAACAGGTCGAGAGACAGACAAAACGACATGTGTCTTGTAAAATTTATCAGGCTTTCCATCTGTAACAGTCAAGCGCTTCTATTAAAATGTGAATCCAACTTGGATGAATTTGTCTTATGGAAATTTGAGATGATTCAGATCTGCCTGTGTCTGAGGCTGCTGCTGGTTCAAAGTGAGCTTCCTGCTCAGCAGCCTGAAAGATAAACATAAAAACCATGCAAATATCATTGAAAGGCAAATATCACATTTACATGCTGGCTCCCCAGCTCAACGTCAGTTTTAACCTAACAGACTCAAAACTCTTCTTCTCAAAAGTCTTTTTTCTGTTGACCATCAAACCGGCCCTCATGATCTCACTTCCTTCTGGCCACAGGCAGACAGGAAGGGCGGAAACCTCCAATGAAACCATAAATAGAGCAATATTTCTTCTCCAGTATTTCAGTTCCATAAACTTTAACTGACCACCGAAGCATTAAAATATCCTCATTATTGCAAACATTTAATCACTGCCTTGAAAACTATTTGAAGAATGAGGCCTGTATGACAGAGCTGACTTTGTGAGGCAACGCTTCAGGGAGACATGAGCAGGGCGAAAGAGATCAGAGAGATACTGAGGTCAAATGTGTGAATCCTCTGCCTGCTGAGCGGGACGAGTGTAAAGCAGGTATTACATGGGAAGCGTGTGAGTAAACCACACAGCTTAAAATACAGACGCTGGGAGAAAAAAAAAACATCTCCTCCTCTCTCGAGTCATGGGACTAACATCACCGAGTTATTTGACTGATGCGTGACCTTTCACCCCGCCGGCGTAGGCAAATGCTCGGATTAAGAGATTTACAGGACAAGATGTTCATCCTTCAGTCACTCAAGTTTCATCTGTTGACAGAGATGTGGCCGATCAGGGAAATCCTGTTAAATGGCACTCACAGGGTTCAGAACCCAGAACGCCCCCCCGCCCCCCCCCAACATCCCGCTGTTAGTCTTTTACCTGGATCTCGAAGCCGAACGCCTCTTCTTCTTTTTTCTCCAGAACCACCACTTTCCTGAGAAAAAAAAAGGGATATATATTTTTTTTAATTTCAGTTGATTCAACCTGTTTCTGTAAATCCTGCAATCCTGCAGATACAACTTGTTTTATATCCACATATTTCCTCCTAGTGTCAGAGTCTTCCAGTAAAATTAATGTGAGCCATGTGATTAAACTCTGTGGAGGTTTTCCATAAGAAAAACTTTCAGATGCTACAACAATTAGTTGATTAATCAAATGGTCAATAAACAGAAAAGTATTTTGATAATTTATTAAGGGCTGCAGCGTTTTTTTTCTTGATCTATCAATCTGCCAATTATTTACCTTCCTGATTCATTTAGTCTATAAAATGTCAGCAAATAGCGGCAAATGTCAATCGCAAGGTTCAAAGTGTCTTCAAATGCCTTGTTTTGTCCGACCAACAGACTGAAAACTTAAAATATTTAGTTTAACAACGTAGAAGAAAAGCAAGTCTTTAGATCTGAGAGGCTGGACTCACTTTCTGAGTAATTATTGCAGGTCTAAATCGATTCATCGTTTAATTCATTTTTCAAGCAAAATTGGTAAAAATGTGATGCTTGTAGCTTGTCAAATGTGAGAATTTGCTGCTTTTCTCTGTCTCACATTATAATAACTTGAATTTTGAGGGCGCTGGTTAGACACAACGAGACATCTAAAGAGCTCTACCACATCATGACGGGCATTTTTCACAGTTTTCTGATGTTTTATAGACATTTTACTTCTGTCATAACAGAAATAAAGCTAAAAAAATATGAAATTTTACAGTCTATCCATCAGAACTTCTGTTAATGTCATTTAAAGACTCCAAGGATCATTTATAAAGGCAGCATTGTTGTCAATAAAATCCAAAATGCAAGACCAATATTTGAGATAGTAAACAAGATGTTTATATCCAACTCTGGATTCCTCTCTTCCGTGCGGGTCCTTATCTAAATTGCATAACAAGATATTTCTGCGAGCAGCACAGGACCTCTTCTGTGTCCAGCAGCATCTGGACGTCACAGACATTGTACAGTACAAGGGTCTGTCAGACTGAGACGTCGGCACAAGATCTCTCATGCAGAGGCAACAACATACATCAATATTCATGACAAACCTCAAGAATATCGTACATAATAATGTCTGGCATCATTAAAGAACACTGTTTGAATGGGGGCCTTTCACTCTGAGAGGAAGCTGCTCACTTGTAATCACTTTAGTGTAAATAAAAAAAAAAAGGAGGATGAAGTTCAAGGACAAATGTCAGTAACTGATGGGGAAGATTGTACCTTTGTGGTTCTGGTGACTGTGTTAGGGGTTTCCACTTCTGCAGCCCACCACCCTGCAAGGAGAAAACGAAACAAGACGTGGAGCGTGTCAGGCACCTGTGTGAGGTTGATGCACGATTACTCAGAAGGGTAAACCCCAGCATTTCCTGGACACACCTACTGTACACAACAGTGAGACCAGTCCGTCGAGTCTTGAAGCTGCACACGTGTGCTGTGCCATGTGTTTATATTTTTAAGCTACTGGGGTGCTGGTATAGAAACACTGGCACTGAAACCAGAAATACATGTCTGGCTGCTCTTTGTTTACATGTAGAGATCCCAACATCACCTAATTTTAGCTTCACTTCCAAACGAAATCAGTTCCCTTCAGGCACTCAAACTGTTGACCTATTTCATATTCAAAATCATTTAGAACGGTTTCTAGCGCATTAAAGAAACAAATAACACATATTTTATTCATCTACATATATTTTTCTCTATTTTTTTCCCCCTGCGAGGTCTCAATATTTTCAACAACTCCGGTTTGACTTGACAGTGGCGAAGACTTCAGCCACAATAAGTGCATTGAGTGAAAACCCCAGTCAACAGCAGGTCAGGACCCTGCCCTACCTAACTGTATAAATAAGGAAGGTATCTGTCCAGAAGGCTCCACTAAATCACTTACAATCAATCCACCTCTGTTCTAACTCAATCATTTTCAAATGCTGCTCCTATGAAAGGCTGCTTTGTGCTGCAGCCTCTCTGGGTAGTAAAATGTTGCTTTCTTTATGTCCCTACACTTACAGAATTGTCCCGTGCCTGTCTCAATGAGTGCATTTATTCCCAAATAACCGCGGAGACCGACGGGGGTGGCTCGAGCAGGATCTCCATCCCTGCGTGTGCACAATGCACTGTTGTAGCGCCTCACTTTCAGCTACTGAACACTTGTAGTAAGTGGGTTTGTGGATAACTGTGCCTCTCTTTACAGTACTACACATGTGTGTTTTAAACTATAGTTTCCAACTGGGACGTCAACTTCTGCCAGAAACTCTAAAGGAAATAAAGCCACATATTTCAAATAACTGTGCTTTACGAGAAACACAACAACAAGGACAATGTGTTGATATATCCACTAGACATGCAAACGTTTAGCAAGTATTACACAACATCGACTGGCGTCTGGTGTCACTCTTGACCATCAGGAAGGAGGCTGTCAGTCCTGGAAACTTCACTTATTGCTTAACTAATCCAGGCTAACATGTTCTTACTGTTTTAGACTCATCATTTAGACAAAAAGATTGATTTGATTATCTTTAATGTATATAGTGCGCTCTTATTTTGAAATAAAGGCAACATTTGAACAATTGTTCTATTTGGCCATTTGTCAGCAAAGTGAGCTCAGTAGTTAATTGATTTAAATAACTTACCTATGATTTATTAACAAACTCCAAATTGCAATTAATTGGTTGGTTCAAATATCCACTTATGACAGAAGTACATTTCATAAATTTTAACATTCATATGAGAAATTTCCCCTCATAAAGTTTAAGTGACCTTAAGACGACCATATGAATGTTGGTCTTTGGACATTGATCTTTTAAAGTCATAGAAATTTGATTGAGTCTCTCTCTTGTTGCTCATACCTCATGTCGTGTATTTAATTTCACAATAAACTGTGAAATTAAAATGTGATCAGTTTTACACCAAAACCTTGTCACATTTCCTCTGTTACATACACGTTCTCGTCTGAAATCAATTCTAACAACATATTTCATCATCCTTCTGAGGAAAGGAGCCATGTGTGTCTGAAAATGGGTTCATGTTTGGCCTTAAGGATCTGTTGCCCAAGTCAAATCATCATCACATTAATCTGAATAACTCCACAAACTCCACAGGACTGGACCCTGGTGTACCTGAAACAGCGTAAATCAGAATCAGCGTCTGGGTGGTCCACACTTGCCCCATTATGGGCTACCACTGTTGGGCTCTCAGTGAGATGCCCTCTGTTGATAAACTGTGAACAGTTTTCTGTTGATAAACTGTGAACAGTTTTCAACAGCTTCCCAAACATTTTCAGATCAATTCACTGAAAATACCACACATCTGATCAGACTACATCCCAAAAAGAAAACACAAAGAACTTCATCTAGGAAGATCCTTACTCGATGAACAGTTCATGGGCTCTCTGGACATTCTTACTAACTCTCTCCTCCTTTTAAAGCGTGTAATAACCATAAAAGTGCTTTATTTGTTTACTCTTGCTGAGCTGGTCCCTGGATAGCATTTAGGGCAAGCATGCACAGTCCAGAACCAGAAGTGCTTGAGATGGGACTGGACATGATTAGATGGCAAACAGGTCAATGAAATTATTCTGCCTCTGAAGTTGATAAACGACATTAAAACAGGTCAAAGTGCCCAGTATGAACCTCTAGGACCTAGAAAGTGAAACATAATATAACTACTAAAGGGATTTGACACGAAATATTGTTAGCTTCATACTGCAGAACCCGATGAATGAGGACACAGGTAAGAACTACATCGAACTGTTGCCTCTTACAGATAAATTCAATTCATGAACTGATGTATTAAAAAGTGTTAAAATTGACTTTTTACCTTTTTGAAGTTCCGGGGCAGCGTCCCACCAGAGTAAGCCAGAGTCTTGTAGTTGTAAACCTCCGAGGAGTTGGTCGGTAAGTCCATGGTCCTGCAGCTGTCTGACTTTGACGAAGGGAAATAAATGTCGTTGTCTTGAGATGCGGGTCCAGTCTCTGGCCCGCTGGAGTTCACTTTCTTAAGCCTCCTGAAAGTCATGTTGACTTCACATGCGCGACTTAAGAGTTGTTGAAAATAAAATTAAAAGAAAAAAAAACAATAACAAACTGTCTGGTTGTCCTCCGGAGAGTGAAACCAGCGGGGCAGGATGCTGACCGAGCTGTGAGCCTCAACGTGGAGCCACCTCCAATTTCACTTTAGTGTTTCTTGTGAATAAACCGGAGGCGGGGACTTCGTTGTGAAGGACACAGATGAGTGCCAATAGTGACGCTGACGTGCATCCTCCCTGCTGCCTTCAGGTGCACCTCGGGCATTTTGGTTGTCGTAGATGCAGCAATACAGTAGTGGTTTTATTTCAGAAATTACCAGTTGAATCAAAGGGAGTCCCCCTCCACTCAAAAACTAGTCTTTGCTTTTTGTAGCTTCACTTGGAAGTTTCACTTTCAATGCGCAGAATGACGTGTGTGCCGAGTTTGACACTAGACTAGTTCATCTGCTCAACTTTTACTAGTGTGATGTAGAAATTTGAAACATCCTGGACATGCACACTGAAATGGGCCTTTAGTGAAGTAAGAGACAGCTTGTGTCGAGCATTTAAACTTTGGAAATGAAAAACATTAGCACTTTCATAGATTCTGGATTTTTCAATGAGTGAGAAGAAGTTAGATGAGTTATTATTTAACTTTTTTTGTTCAACAGTCTTATTAGATAAATTATCATAAAAAGCAGAGTTTTTTTTATGTCTTCAAACATGTCCTGGTGTAACCTCACTGAAACTGAGCTGTGGCACACATGTGACATAGCACTTTAAAATTGATGCCTTACTTCATATGGAAACAGTTGTGTAGATAACTCTGAGCAGCAGCTGTTGGCAAAGTTTCCAAACATATGTGATCAAGGCAGTTGTCATGATTTGTCGAAACAGCTTTTGATTGCAGTATCTGTGGCTGGCAGACCAACCATTAACTTAAAAGTTTAAAGTATTATTATAACTCAGAAATACTTGACAGGACAAGATTTGAGATGTATCTTAGAAAAAATGGACACAGATCTACTCATTGACAACAAAGAGACAAAGTTTTAAAATGACAAATAAGGTCTAAAAGAGTGGCATACAAGACACTTATTTTCACTGAGACCTGATCATATCACAGCCATCTGTGGCCACACACTAAAAAGTGGATGACTCCCCCTTGTGGTAAAAAAACAAACATCTACCACAAGTGAAGCATTAGATGTGTAGGCAAATACTGTGGATCTAAGTGTATAAAAAAACCATAACAACTTCTGAAGCCCAGACGATTTATTAAATCTTTACACAGTGTGTTATTTCAGGCATATTACATTAACATCCTTCAGATATACTGACATGATATGACTGATGTAGCATTTAAATAAGGACTGTATATGTTAAAACAAGTTTGAACCAGTAATTTCAAATCTAAGTCATTATAATTTATAAGTTAGAAGTGAACAAATCTAAGCTTTCTGCACTAAACTAGTACAGCAGAGAGGCTTTCTGTCCTCACACACACACACACACACACACACACACACACAGACACACATACAGACACACGCACACACACACACACACACACACACACACGCACACACACCCCACGCCCCACCCAGCGGATCAACATGCAGCCCTTTTGGCAATGATTGTCCTGTTACTGTTCCCCAAAACACTTTCAAGTATCTTCTCAAATGTGTGAAAAAAAAAAGTAAATCACTGAAATGTAATCTCATCTATCCTTCTCTCTCAGTGCCAAATTGATAATAAAACATATATCTGGCTTTCACAGCATCTTTACAGCCACAACAAAACAGCAATACTACATGGTCTATGGCCAAAGTGCACGTCTACACAGTGGTCTGTACATCTTCTACCTAAGCCATAACCATAAAGAACAGATTGTAAAGGCACATGAAGCTGAATATTTTTTTAAAAACATGATATTCACTTTACCTTAACCTTACTTTAAGTTCCTACAGAGCAGCATTTCCACTGACTGTGAAGCATTGAGACAGCGGCAGCGAGACTGTCTTGTATTGATAAAAACACTGAGTAAATTTGGTTAAATTCATTTTGCCACGATGCAAACATATCTTACCATAGTTTGTATTCATACAGTGCCATGCTTTGGTTATAGGTTACACAGATGCAGAACCTTTGAAGCAGTTAGCCTTACTGTTATGATGCAATTATTCTACAACATACACATTCGAACTAATTTGATGTAAAAAAAGTGTCAGACCTTTATTTACAATGAACAGGGTGATGTAGTCAGTTGGTTTTATTTGTAGTTGAAAAAACCAGTTGATTTGGCCTGAGGAGCCATCAACATACTGGCTTGATTCTTGTGTGTGATGTGAATCTGTAAAGGAAATATAAAATTCGAATGTCCAGTAAATTACATAATAATCAAATCAAAACATTGCCACTAACTATATTGCTAATGGGAAAATTAGCTTTAATATTTAATGTGTGGTCTGCAGTAAAGCAGCCACAGTGTTTGATTCTGTGTGTGTGTGTGTGTGTGTGTGTGTTTGCAGTATTTACCGTGCAGGGAGGCTGCATCCACGGCTCTCCATCTATCTGCATCGGTAATGCTTTCTTCGTCCTGAGGGTAAAGTGGAGAGGGATCAACAAAACACATCAGGTAACAAAATCAATGACTGTCCCGTGTCATTAAAATACCAAAAGGAAACCCAGCATACATAATTATTGTTATGTAAAGATCCAGCTAAGGATCACCCTCAGCTGGTGATCAAAGTCAACTACAAGCCATTGTCATGACTGAGAGCCCGAAGCTTGACAAGTCTGAACATGTCCGTGTGGCTGTTTCTCACCTGATGGTGATCTGTGACGTCTTGGCGAGCCTCACGGCACTCTTGAGGCCCGTGTATATCTGTCCCATCTCCATGGCTCCTTCAAGGCCGACCACCTCTAATCGACGGTCACTGAGATCTGACAAGAACACATGGACACACTGAACATCCGGTGCTCAGAGGAAGAACATTGTTCAGTCTGAGACAGAACCATATATCAGTCAACATACTGCCGGAATCAAATAAAGTGACACATATAAATACATTACGTACAAACATCACTAAATACAGTTATGATTATACTGAAAATACAGGTGTAACAAATCAAAGAGGCGATGATCAAAATTTTTTATATTAACAATGGATCACTTGTATGTGAATGTTGTTTCCAGAAGCAGCAGGCAGCTGTTCTCAGTAAAAAGGCCCTGATAAACCCACTGCCCACTACCTGCTCAGCACCAAACGCCAGGCAGACGCAGACAGGCTGGTGAACATGGTGGAGCATTTAGCAGCTAAAGAACCAGATATTTCCCTCAGTTGGAAGAGGGCAAAATCAGACTGAAAAGCAGAGTGAATACTGGACTTACATTCACCAGGTGGACACAAACACGACTCCAGGTGAATGATAATGTTGCTCTGTGTCTGCCAGATGTGTAATTAGGAAAATGTTTGCTAATAAGTTGCCATGGAAACTTAAAAGATCATTGTTCCGCTTCCCTCAAGTGTCCAGAAAAATCAACGACTGCAGATATAAATACCACAACAACATGAAAACACAATCAAATCAGAGCAATGGAAGCCAGTTTCATTTAATGCCTTTAAAGATTTGTGTCAATTGCCTTCTTACTGTAAAGCTGCATTCATCTTTTAGCCACAGAATACACAACATGGACATATTGTCACCTTATAAAGTTGTTTAGGCAAACAGTTGCCTGTGTACCGACCCAGCAGACACAGAACAGCAATGGCCTTTACATGTGCTCCTGCTTGTGTCCACTTGACTAATGTTACCCCAGTGTTACCCTCCTTTTAGCTCCGCCATGGTGGTGGACAGGTCACACGGACAGTGGGTTTATCACGGCTTCTCTACTAAAAATACTTGCCGGCTGCAGCTGGAAATGGGGTTGATGAGCCTGGAGTCTGCAAGCTGTAAAGCCAAAACAATGAGCTGAGAGAAGTTAAAAGGCTTCATGTAGATGAGGGAAGTGATGGAGTTTGGGTTCATTACTATGTGCAGCCTCTTGCACACATCACATAGTCAACTGATTAATTGTTGACATAAAAACTGGAATTACTGCATCACCTTTGTTTGCTTCCGCCAACCAGTCAAGTTTAAAACTGCAGTTCAGATCCACGTCTGTCCAGACTCATATAATATATGTATTGACAAGTGTGGTGAAGGAATTTAATGAAACGTATTAAGTGTATTTGCAGAACAGTGAAGTTGACCTTTGACCTTTTCAATATTAAATGTCATCAATTCAACATTTTATCCTATTGGATATTTGAGTGACATTATGTCATAATTAATTATGAATTATGGCCTAAAATGTGTTTTGTGACCTTTGTCCATTAAAATCTCATTTGTTCCAAATTTATAGAAATTCCTTCAAGGCGTTGCTGAGATATTGCATTCACAAGAATGGGACGGACGACCGGATGGACAAACAGACGACCCGATGTCTCCATCATAGTGGCACAAATATACTGACTGCTGCAGTTTAAAGCCAGACTTCTGATCTCCTTTTCTTCTTCTTAACTTCTTTAATCTCCTTAACTCTCTGGTTTAAAATCATTATTCTGTGGAGTGGACATCAAAGACAAAATACCTTGGGAAGTCACTTTCAGGATTTCTGGGTCGACAATCACTTCTGGCTCTTCCTGACTCGTCATTCCCTTTGTGTCCCCTTTTTTGGTCTCCCCCCAAAGGTTGGAGCCACCGTGCATGCTGGGAATATTAAGTACAGCAACACCCTCTAGAGACAGGCTGCTGAGATCCAGTGGAGTACCACAGCACTGAAGGGGGTGCAGCAAAGTGAAGCATCAGTGCATGGTCTGTCTGTGTGAAAAGTTCTTTCAATGCACACTTGCAATGCTGCTAACTCTGGTGCTGTGCTCTCACCTCGATTGTTAGGCTTTCGTTGAGTTTCTTGCAGGAAGCAGAGATGGTTTCTGAAGTTGCAAATTCAAAATACCACAGCTTGTTCTTCATTCTGCAGACATATAGAAGTGTGCCTTTCAGGTTTAAGTGAAATTTTACTTTCACACAACGTTTTCTCCTTTCAGCGCACACAGCTCTTTAGAAGAAGAAGGAGGAGGAGGAGGAGGAGGAGGAGACACTTGCCACCACAGACCACCACCTGCTGTTGCCACCTGCATTCAGTTTTTTTCAGCTTTTAAAAAAAAAAAGTTGTTGTAAGAAGGAAAAAAAAAATACAGCTTTTTTCCTAAAACCGAAGACATAAGATGAAATAGTACGCCTCAGCTCTGCAACTGTTATACTGTGTAATACTATATGCAGGACATATTTAATTCTTTGTTTGCTGTTCATGCCCTAGAAACTGAAAATGGTTAATGGCAGTTAATGGCATACCTGCTGTTGAATTTCTGGGGATGTTTCTCCCTCATTGTGTGAAACCGGTGTGCAATGGAGGCATCCTGTCAACATGACACAACAAAGCAATTATCTAAACACAAAATGAAACATAAACATTTCCCCCTTGTGTGATATATTTATAATGAGAGACTCACAACTCCAATAGAGAAGTAGTTGTTGATGATTTCATATGGCACTGGGTCCCCTTTCTCCTGATTCTCATCTGTGATGACCTGCACACTCCAGCGGTCCATCAGCACCTGAGAGCTCCCCTCAATGTCTTTAAGAATACGACTCAAATCCTCGCCATCATATCCTGTTGAGTGGAAACAAACAAAGAGGACCAACATGACTGAGAACCTTTGTGTACACAAACATAAAAAAAAAAAGCAAATTGGAGAACTTCTGCTTTGATGAAGAACATTTAAGCAAACAAACACACACAACAGAACATATGCAACAGACCGTTTCATTATTTTCATAATCAAGTAACATTTTCTCACCTCCTCCCCATCGCAGACAACGCGCGAGGTCATTTCCTGTGCCCAGAGGAAGCACAGCAACAGGTGGCCGTTCCAGCAGATTGGCTTTGTCTGATTGCAAGAAAAGGGAAAAGGGAAGGAGAAGTGCATCACAATGATTTTCACCAGAAGCTCACATACGCCTTTCATAGAGCTTGACGCAAACAGTCTCACCTATTGCGTCCAGAATCCAACCAACTGTGCCGTCTCCCCCGCACACCAAGATCCTGTAATCCTGCAGATTTCTGAAGAAACTCAGTCTGAAAGAAAGAAAGGTGATGACAAATATAACAGCAGAGCATGACACAGAGACATATTTAGGACAAAGTGGCTTGACACAATCTGATACTTTTAAAATAAAATTCATAGAAATTAATTTCACTTCCATTTCACTTTGACCTTAAACTGTTGCACTGATGACTCACCCTGGTCCCGGTCCACCATTTGAAAGGTTGTATACCTGCCGTGGATTCAGTAAATACTGAAATTTACGCAGGACTCTGAAATACATAAAACCAGGCTAAACACTGTGCATGTATCAGACATGTATTTCTCCATGAATGTATTTTTTTGGACTCACCTTTCTCCCTGCTTGCCCCCACTTTTAGGGTTTACGAACACTAGAAGAGGATGAGTCTTTGACACGGGGCTGATCTGTTGTATGAAAATGAGGTAATAGTTATTACATAGGATAAAATGTTTACATACTGAGTTTATCATATAATATTGTATATTGAGTATATTTTTCCTTAACCAAGGAATCTGGCCAACTAAGATGAACTCAGTTTGTAAATATTAAGTATTGATAAAAACCTTCACAAGGCAGAATAATACCTGAAGCACTTGTCCATCAGGAGTAGTATTAAGCTCGCTGTCATCTGTTGAACCCGAGCAGCCATTCTTTACATTGTTTGTTCTCTCCTTTAGGGAGGAAAACAAAAGTATAGAGTGAATAAACAAGAGGATATGTAATGTCTTTCTTGCCTTTTGAGAACAAAGAAAATCTCTACACACTGTACCTGTCAAAATGCCACACAGGTGAGAAGGGTTTACCAACAACAAGAGAAAGCCCTGGGCTGATGTTATGTTATTGCGTAGGTGTCACAGGCACTGTTTGTACTGTACATGTTCTTGAGAGGAGCCCGAGGATAATTCTGTACCTTTATAACAGGATATATTGCCCATGGAGGCAGGATATGGTCTCTGAGCGGCCCACAGGTACACTCTGTCGGCTCTTGGTCTGCACAGTCATCGTGACACTGTAAAACACAAACAGTCACACATTACATAAACTGCCAGCACAACAGTGATGAGGGACAGAATCTGAATTTATCCTTCAACAAGATTCTTGCATTTCTGTTGCATTGAATGAGATGAGAGACAGGAGGAATAAAGGCCCACAAGACTGGATTTGAACCCAAAGCATCATGGGTACACGGCCTACAATCAAGCAATTAAACCAGATTGGGTCATGACCAAAAACCACAGTCACACATTAAGAAGCTTCCTCACCATCGTGTGACACCACACACAGTGTTTGCCCGTTAAGCCTTGGAAGCTCTTGATCTTCTTCTGGCATTTATCACATTTCCTCGAGTCACAGTTCCCACTCACCCAGTCGTGCGCTGGAACCTGAAATGTGGGATGAATATTTTAACATCCACAGAAGAGCACATTCACACACAGGATAAAGTCCAATGTAGTCCGTGTCACTGTAAATTTAGCGAGTATCACTGTAAATGTTGTCATGGAGACAAAGGCATACCCCTGTTTCTTTCTTTGACTTCACATACGTTCTGGTGCAGGGGGCTGGGTTCTTGTTAGCGCAGCGCCCGTGGACTGTGTATTTGCAGCCTGCAAAAGAAGATACATAACCCAGTATTGACCATACTGACACAACACTTCCAGTGATAAATGTCACTGCAGTGTCGCCCTCTGCTGGTGAGTTCTCAGGGTACTCACAGGTGCAGCACAGCCCTTGCTTCCTCAGGCCCAGCAGCATGCTCTGACACACGTTGCAGTAAACAGGCTTGTTGAAATGTTTCATCCTCCAAAGGTGCTGCCCATCCTTCTGGGTCATCTGGTTGTTGAAGGAGCAATTTGAAGATGGCAATGCAAGAAAGAGCAGACAACATGCTTGAAGATCTGTGTTATTGTGCGAACTCATTTGCATTTTGAGAAAACTAAAGAAAGACTAAACAAAAAAAGAGAACAAAAGAAATTTACGTCTGTTTCCTTTGTTGAAATTTGGATCAAACTATGCAAACCCTTTAATAAACGTACTGTGGTAAAAGCTTGCACATTACAGTTGTTTTTCACACCAGCTCATGACTAACCTTGCCTTAATGAGACTACTGATTATTCAGTATGTAGTGGCTCTCTATACCATGACATACTGTGCAGCAGCGTGGATATTCAAATCAACCCTGACTATAATCTCAAATTCTCAACACAAGATTATGAGGTTGCTTTCAATCTGTTTACAGAGCAACCAGCGCTCTTATCCAGATTACACACTGAAATGCTTTTTGTGCGACATGATGAATCGGCCTATCACTTACTGCATGAGGCATAGCGGGCAGCCCGTGAAGCAGCACAAAGCAACTGTGAGGGGGCTGAATTCATGCACCCCAGGCTTCAAATGTCCATTGGTGGCTAGAAATAGCCTGAGGGGAAGTCCCTCGCATTGTTGTAGAGGCCAAACCCAGTGACAGAGTCCAGTTCATGGTTTTATCCTGCCACTGTGAACTGCAGTCCAACAGTAAGTGGCTTTTATATTCTTGGCAACACATTCAGCAACACCCATAACACAAAACTGATCTATCCTTGATTTAATTAAACCATTTTTATGTGCACGCCCAATATTGAAATGATACATTTTTTTGTTCAAATATGGTGCATCAGCCAAAGATTGCCATTTTATGCAAGCACTGTGAAATGTGGGCACCGATTGTGCCGAGTAAATGGAAAACACTAAAGCACTCTGATGGTGCAGAGCTTGCATGAGAAGAGATGACATTACCACACCCTGTAACACTGAGTCGGCAAAAAGGCCCTTATAGACAGGGAGGAGGTAGAGGACAGAGGAGAGGCACGCAAGGCCAGGGTTTCATAAGAGCAGTGAATGTAGGTTTTACCACTTTGTGAGACACCTGCTATCAAAATGAAATACATCTGAGCTCGGCTTTTGGAGCCAACGCTTAATGAAAAGAGAAACATGCTGCTATAAAAGCACCTTCAGACCCAACAAGACCAGCAAGGGAACGTTGTTCATGCCTCCCTCCACCCACTCCTCCAGAGACACTGTGCCGCTGCTGTCAGCATCAATTGCTGTCATCATGTCCTTCAGAACCTGATGAAATGATATTTGGTTGTTATTATCCAGTCAGCACACATATTTTCTATTACTTGAAAAGGCCATATGTTTTCTGAAACTGCTCTTGCATGGGAATTTGTGAATTTTACAGGTGCGATGATGCAACCCTGGCAAATGAATAACAAGTGGGGCCCTATAGATAACATCATAAAGGATATCTTGTGCAAACAAATGTGCATTTACTATATTCTCACAGCTGAAAGTACAGTTCCGGGACGTTTATATTTCAGAGTCGAGACTGTGGGACTTACCGGCCTCAACTCTGACACATCCCAGCCAAGGTATTCTGCAGCATGCATCATCTGAGCAATGATCCTATCCACTTCCTGTTTAAAATGTAAAGAAACACTCGTTCTAGAAATGCGGTTGGTATGATAGGTTCATTTACAATCACACCTTAAGAAGATTTTCTCAGTAACTTACAGAGCTGTCGAGGACTCCATTGCCATCTCTGTCATAGAGTTTGAAAGCAACTAAAGAGAGAGGGGAAATGAAAGTGGAAGTGCTGGACCGAGTCATCACTCAAATTATTTTGGGCAGAAAAGAAATAACCAACTCACACTCCAGTTTGTCCCTGGGCTGGCCATCCTCCAGCAGAGAGAAGTAACATGAAACATCCTTCAGAAAGACCTCCTCTACAGGAGAGAGCGAGAAGAGGGGGCTGTGAATACTCTAGTCACCATATCTGCACATCCAGTACCACACAGGCATGCAGTGATAAATGAATGTATGCCAAACCATGGTGTAAATCGATATGGACCTGCTACAAATGACGGTGGAGACAGTGAGTTGTGTTAACACATGGTGTATAATCTTACTGGCACTGTCTTCCTGGGTGGGTTCAGAGTTTTGGAAGGAACGGAAGAGTCGCTGGCAGAGGGCCAAAGGGAAGTCCTCCACTTCTAAATAAGTCTTCAGGAACAGACGAAAACCTTCTTCATTGATGCACTGGGAAAAAAAATGAATGGGAGAGGCATTTTTGTTTACGGCGGTACTGTGACTTCTACAATAAAATTGAGTGTCTGGTTGTATCTGTTGTGCATGTTAACTTCTGCATTTTTAAAAAATCACCTCTTCTCATATGGTATCTTCCGTGTGAAAAATCTTGTATCTGATATGTGTCTTTTTCTCAGAAAAACAGCTTCTTGTTATGAGCTTGATCATCTAAGTGTATCATGCTGGTGTTGTTTCAAAAGCCCTAGATATTTCTCAGAACCATTTATCCGTCATTTAGAGGTAAAAATATGTCACCAAAAATGGAGAGTTTTCACAGTTTTCGTGTGACAATAACATTTAACAAAAAAAAAACTTGTGATTCAAGATTTCTCACGTGATAATATGCTACAGGGCTAACAAGCAGTAGTCCCTTGGTAATGCTGAACCACAAACCCATTTCTTGTTGACATAATTCCATTTCCCTGGTTGATACACTGCAAAGCTGCCCCAGTAATAAATAATGTCACTGCAAGGCAGCCAGATCACAAAAAGAAATGAACGAAAAAGGACCAAGAAAACGGAAAGAAAACAGCATCATTATTACGCACACAGCAATATTTACAACAGATAATAAGGCATTGTCTTGTGTCACTCAAAAGCTATTTTATGACAGTATTTGTGTTTTCTTCCATTATAAAAATCAACATTTCCTTCTAATTATCCAACTAAACTGTATGTAGCCAAATTATCCATCAGAAATGACTGCATTTACTTCCTGCACAAACGAGTCTGCAGTGTCAGCCACTGATGTACAGTATTGTAAAGACCTTTTTTTTTTCAATCACATCTGAGCTCACAATGCAGCCAGCACTCAGTTCGGCAGGGCCTTGCTGCGTGGGCAAAACTAAGGAGGTAATTTACATTTGCAACCCCGCTCGAATGTGCTGAAGATATTTCTCATGGACAGCTTAGTCATCATGATCAATGGGTTTGAATCTAATTAATCAGCGTAGGACAATTAATAACTGCCCAATATACATAAATCACATGCTCATTTCTCACTGAACTGCTCCACTGAGAGCGATAATTAAGTTCAGTTATGTGCCTCATAGATGGCATCACTATGAGTGAGTTTTGGAGGAGCGGACCTGATGTTGAACAGCAGGACACATCGTCCCCTTACCTCTCCATGTCTGTGCCGGGCCAGACTGCCATCTGCATCGAATTCCCTCAGCACGTCTTTCACCTTCAAGCTGCAGTCTGGAAGCAAAAGGCACACAGGTCACACAGGGATACACATGTACTCCTAGTATGTGTGGGTAGTTCTCAAACATTGATTTTTCATACATTATATATTGTATACGACAGTTTTCAGTCTACATTTGTGAAATATCATGTACACATATGATTGAATAATGAATATAGATTCATCTGGAGAACAACAAAACATGTGCATGCCTTCTTTACAAAAATGCAGAAGGTGACAGACTGTTACCTCTTCTAGATGCGAAAAACCATGAGCGAGTATAAATGAGTGTGTGTGTGTGGGTGGAAGTTGGGGGGGGGGGGGGGGGGGTGCTGCTGCTGAGCTGCCTGCCCGCCCGCTTGCTTGTCTGTACTCACATTCAATGTACTGCTGTAGCTGGATAAAGTCGACAGGGTTCAGTTCCTTCACCTCTGGGTTTGTGGGGGTGGACATGGTGCCTGCTTCTGCACTAACTGCCTGCCTGTGCACAGGCGAGAGGAACAGTGAGACACAGAGGCAGAGAAAACAGAAGGTGGGTGCACAGTAGCCTGCTTCTTTGTAAAACATAAAAGCATGGCTGCAAGCAAAAGATAGCATCTTCCATTTCACACTGTACTAATCCATGATCGCAGACAGGGAGATTCACACTCAACATCCAAACATTGAGTGTGAAGCAAGGATGTGTAGAGCCGTGCAGAACAGCCACAGTCAACACTGTACTGTTTGCCTTTTGATGAACACAATGAAATATTAAAGTATGTTTATATGACCAACCATTATTATATGTCATTGTGGTCCATGTTCATAAACCCACAGTCTTTTCTAAACAAGCGTGCGGATGTCACTTTTTCCTTATACGATGCACTGAAATGCAGCGTCATTGCCAAACATGAACAACTTTGTCAAGTCTACTTTATCACTACTGTGTTTATTTCAAATCTCACACCGTCATTATAATGTGACTACCCGCTTAAAACTGGGCCAAAAGTCTGGTAGCAATTATATCAGGCTACAGGTACCCATGATACTTCAACTCTAGGGATTCTCTGCACCCAAAATCTCTTTCCATACGCTCAGTGGCCCATATAAGATTGATAAAATACCAGATGTGAGGAGTGTTTGGTTCAGTTTAGCAGGAGAGTACAATGAAGCGTTAAAATGCAGAGATAAAAAAAAAATAATATCTTGTGGAGAGGTCGAAAAACCAAATTGGCTTCTCAGGGGACGTCCCCTTCAAACAAAAGGAAGAGACATAAATGTCGTACAAGGCTGAAAGTGAGCCTGAAGCTTGGAGCTTATTGCAGTAAAAATTAGTCATGCATGTTGCTCTGAAGTCAGAAGCATGGCATTTGGATGAACATTTGGTTGGTTTGTTATGAATGATTTCATCAGAAGCAAAGATGCAGTTATGATATAATGGAAGGAGATTCCCTAATGACAGGAAAACAAACAGATAAATGTAGAGTTCATTAATCAATGAAGGAAAGAGGACAAACTAGTTAATAGAGGGGAGAAAATTGCCTCACATCCTGTTTGATGTTGCTTTCGCAGATGCATGCCAATCAAATGGTGCAATAAGAGGTATGGACATAGATCAATACAGAATTTGTAGAGAGTCTAATGCAGCTGATAATCAATATGTCTTGCAATTACGTTATAAATGTGATCTTTCCGTAAGTAAGTCTTTCATAATAAGCATCAAGAAATAGTACACATGCTTTACTGTTCCACTAATGCATTCCTTTCACGGTAAGAGGAACATTTAAGATCTACTAATTGTGTTAAACCAAGACCATCTAATATTTCTTAAAGATAAATTAACAAATTTTTCAATTTACAAATACAATTAATTACGAGTTAATAAGTGAAAATATGCTCTACTTAATACTCGTAAGGGTATAGATAGAATTCTAATAGAATAGAATAGAATAAGTCTTTGTTGTCGTTGTACATAATAAACAACAAAATTAAGAGTGCTACTCCTGTGCAAACAGAAAACAAGTTAAGACAGACAAAGGACATATTGCACTTAAAATATATTGTTGCTACAGTCTCACTTTGTGTGATATCACCAGTAGCTTATGGTGGCTAATGAGAGCTAATGTTAGCAAACACTAGGCAGATATTACTGTGAAACTGACATGACTCCTCTCTACTTGTTACACTTCTACCTTTTACACTATGTTTCACCATTTACCATTATCTTATAATCAGTTCAACAAAAATCTCACTTTGCATGATTTATACTTTGGGCTTCACTGCAACATGTTTTGCAATCCAAGCTGTAGAGTTTCAGATTTTATTCAATGTATTAATCTTAAAACTTGTCTGAGCTGTGTAATCCATCACAGTCCATCACAGTGCATTAGGTTTTGTCTAAACTATATCACCATTATCAGGTATTGCAGAGGAGACTTTCTAAATCAATCTGCACTTTACTTGCATTACCATGAAATGTTGATGGACCTGTGAAAACAATAAATACACTCTTTACACTACTCTGTTGGAGTGCATGAGTCGAGAAAGTGTAAATAGTCTGCTAAGTGATTTTAATACCATATTGATATCCATATTGATATGAATGACAACGGAAGGCTGGAATGGAAAGGAAGAAAGTAAGATTCAGAAGCTCTACAGCATGCTTTGGAAAATGGTGAGTAGTCATGATGTGCACTTCAGGAACTAAAACTTGGAAAAACATGGTCCTTTAAGGCCAGTCTGCTGGCTTAGAACCAAGTACCCAGGAGTGATTCCGGTAATTCCCCTCTAAACAATGTGATTGTTACTGAAGGAATTAAAGGGGGAAAGAGTTTAAAATAGAAAAAGAAAAATATAGTGGTGTAACAGCCTTTAAGAGTTAAATGCACATTCTGATATTTATATTTTATATCAATACCATTCTATCATCAAATACACAAATACAAAAGTAAAGCAGATAAAAGACAGTGTGGTGGTTTTCAGTCCAGGCTGATGAATGATGATGTGTTGTTCACACTGTTGTCCCCAGGTGTTATCACACATTAAAGTGCAGCCAGCGAAGGTATCAGTGACGGCTGCCCGCACTGAACAGAAAATCTGAGCACTTAAAGGACAAAGAACGTACTGAGAAAAATAAATGAAATAATCTGAAAAAAAACACCCACTCTTAACATGTGATTTGGATCCATTTGCTCTCTTTAGACTGTGAAAGGTTCACACTGTCCTCACTTAATTCCCTCAAAAGGTCAGCAGCGTTGCCTAGCAGTTGTGTTTATGCTGCCGATCAGGTGGGCTAGGTCTGTATCGACAGCGAAGTGACACATGAAGGAATCATGAAAAGCCATCTGTCACTGATCACCTGATTACAGGCCTGAAACTGTTTATTCTAAAAATATGCTCCTGACTCCATCCTCAAACACTGTCTTCTAAATAAACTAAAAATAGGCCTCTGAGGTTTATTTGCACATAAAACACACCTCTTATTTTACATAACTCATGGGTGTTATTTTTCCTTTCCCATTTTTATCCTTTCCAGAGGAACGTGATGTCACGAGCAGCGTCTTTTGTCTCCTTACCAACCGAGTACCATCATCATTATTGTCTGGTTCAACAAGATCTGGAGCCTATCTGAGTAATCTGATTCCTCACTTCCTGATTAGATAATGATTTGCATACACAATACAGAGTTGGAATCAGGACCAGTCAGAACATGAAGGAAGAGGCATTCCCTGCACTTAGAGGAAAAGAGATGAATAGTGTAATATATGGTGAGCCAGTTGTCTCCACTCTCTAACATGGGATGGAGTTTTGAAAAGCAATGATGTAATCTAAATGAGCCTACTGAAGCAAGTATAAATATTTCAGCAGGTTTCAGGAATGTTTGTGGCTTGTTAAAACTTAATACAAACCATGTGACTAACTGTTTCTGGCCTACCTCTCAATAAGGTTACACAGCTGGGCTTAAGCTAAATGGTAGATGCTTTATTAGGGAACTGTTGATGTTTCTCTCTAGAAACATTTATGTGGTACAGTCTCTGTTGTGTAGACATGAGAGAGATTTAAATGTGCGCCAGCAAGAGTCACATAACCATAATTCAGTTCCATTTACTTTGGTTCGCACTACTGACAGGCAGTCTGAGGTATAATTCTGTTTGAAGAAAATGTCGCTCCATATAATCAGTACAGAATAAATGATGCAGCACATGTTTTGAGCAGAAATGCAGAAAATCTGCAGCCTTCTGACTCATCGCCACTACTGGTTCTTCAAAAAGAAGTAAAGGACAATTTACATGTTAAAGTGGTTTTTCAAGTAGAAACAGCTTGTGAATGCAACATCTACTCCCCCATAAACCTCTGAAAAACCATCTGTCTAGAGCCTGACACTTGCTTTTACTTCTGACCACTCATCTGAAAAACGCCAAATCAACTGCTTTATAAAAATTCACACAGTGAAATAATTGGAGGATTAGAGTGGGCAGTTCAATTGGCATTCACACATGCCATGCATTTAATTATGAACCCATAATGTCTCGATATAAAACTGTCAACAACCATAAAACACTCTTTTCACAAGAATCATTTCAAGGTATACTTGGGGATGACCTTTTTCCATGGAGGCTAATGTTTGTGCAAGCTGTCATAACACCCACGCCTTGTGTCAAGGAAATCTGCTGTTTTGCAACACTTGCAGGGTGCAAGCCATTGACTCCGTCATTATGTGGTTGGAAAACACTGCGTAGGTTCTTTCAATAGAGGTTGAAGTCTACATCTAATGTTGGGCATTTGTTTTCCTCCTGAAACTACAACAATTCTCTTCACTGACGAGTGTGCAGATTGCATCAGGTTAACAGAAGGGGGAGGACGGACATGCTTGGTTGCTGTGGAAAGTGTTTCCCTCCATCAGCTGCTCTCCGTCAGAGCGCTGCCACGGGTGACTAACAGGTAGGAGGAGGCAGAGAGGGAGGCAGCCAGCTCAGGGACGGGGGAGCCCAGTCAGTAGCTGTGAGTCTTCCCCCTGCAGCTCCACCTCCTCCCACGCCATGAGCCTCGTTTGGCCTTCAAAACCAAAGGCCACACTCTAAATCGCATTCTACATGCAGATGCTACTGTGACTCATTGCATGAACAGGGGAATACTCCCTTACTATAAATGGACTGTTTGCTCAAGGGGTCACTTTACGGGCCGAGCAAAAAGTTACTTACTTAGTGGAACTACTAGAGAAAAAAAAGCCACTTTTTCACATTTATGTATCCTAGAGCTACAGCCTGTAACCACTACTTCCCCTGGTTGTTTTAGCTTCACTTTAGTAGTTCAGTATAGTGTCCAGGTAGTATTGGCAGACATACTGAAGTTGCAACTCTATTGTTGAAAGCACCCAGGCAGGAATATGTTTTTTATTTTTAAATGATGTTACACATAGCATGGTCCAGAATCAGGGGATTTTTCTTTGGGTAGATCAAATGCATCTGGTGAGTATAAGATTCATCCACTGAATAAAGCTGTTGTGTAATGATGCAAATGCAGGGTCAAAAGTAATGACATGGTCACATTTGAGCATGCTGTTAAAATGGGGCTTCCCCTTTGACTACTAATGTAAGGTAATATTTGAAGAATTGAATGGTATGCAAAGTAAACCAGGCTCTGGTCAGTAGTAACACTCTGGAGAAACTGAACACAGTAAACAGAGATTGTAAATCAGGCAGAAAAAAACAGAAAAAAACAAAAGACATTCACCACAGTATGAATCATAGATTTCTTGGAAAATGTAGGCGAGGCTTTGCTCGCTCCCCAGCATCAAAGTGAGGACTGCCCATCACTCTGAGTTCAGACTTGAATGTGACTTATATAATAGCTTTTTGGTGTGGAGGCAGTCTTGTAGAACACCACGCTGTGTTAAAAAAAAACAAAAAAAAAACTCAAACCTGCCTGGACTTGTAAGGGTGCATGCTGTCATAAAACAGCCACACTGCTTTTATGGTGTAAGTGTTTGCATGTATCAGGGAGTCTCGCCTGGTTCGCCCACATCTATCCACAACTGAAAATGAAACAACATTAAATGTCACATTTTTCAATGATTCGCTCTGAAACACAATCATATAGTATTGTCCACTGTCAGGGTCAGTAATTCAGGGACCCAGAGTCTTCAGAATGAACTAAAATACATACTATCATTTTTGCTAATGTGAATTGTTCTCTAAATATGAATGAATGAGGCAAATTCTAATCACTTCTATGATGTGATAAGAAAGTACTGACTTCTGACAGTTCACCTAAAAAAGCCAAATGGGTTAAAATCATAGTCTTTAATACAGAATTTAGACAGACCAGTGATGATGTAATGAAGGAAGTGATGGCAAAATAAGAAGTGAAATAGCCTGTAGACAAAAGGCATTAATACCATTTCTCAAATTCTAGTTCATTTACAGCCTCTAGCCTGATGTAAACATTAACAATGGGACAATTGACCTGGCTGCAGTATTGATTGTCTGTGCCTGAAAACTCCCTTGCAGCTAGAAACAAATGTTATACCACTGAGACTCCAACTTTGAAATGACCTGGTAGAAATGAACACATAGCTCGGCCAGGAAGTGGATCAAAAGCTGAGAGTTCAGGCAAAAAAAAGAGACCTATGTTAAGTGTCAAGACTTTCCTGTATGGTTTGTTTTTCCAGTTAGCATGATGGCAGAAAGTCATACTCACCACCACTTCCAGTCAAATTGACAGCAAAACTGGAGCTTCGAGTAAACAATGATCACACATCTGTGACAGCGCCCACCAATTCCCACCATCATCTACCTCACAACCATAGAGGATACTGCTGTCCCAGACAACAACAACAAAAACACGCAGAAAACCCTCTGTGGTGTCTTGAGGTTTCACTGAGCCCACCGGTATAGCACCATATCCCTCAACACACATAATCTCAGGTGGGAGTTACTCAGATAAGATCCTATCAAACGGAGGCCAATAACATTACAAAACAGTTTGCTCATGGTACTAGTGACGTATTAAGTTGTACCATGTGTTGGGAAGTTTAAGTAACACATATAGTGGAGACCACTACACTTAAGTATCTTGAGACACTACACCCCAAATAGTTAAAATACCCCTGAATGCTCACTAGTGTCTACTCTTGACAGATGAAAAGCTCATTTCTCTAAATAGCTCAGACTGAGAGAAGGGGTCCCCCTGAAGCTGGCAACTTAAGCAGTCTGACATTAACAAACGTCAGACACTGCAAAGGCAACTGATTGATGCATGTTTGTGAGGATTCAAAAGAAGGCAGAGGACCGCATTGAAATGCAATAGATCTACCCAGTCAGTTGGTTGTTGTTCGGCTGTTGTGAATAGCTCTGTTATTAACACACGACTATCTGCAGCACTTTCGCTTTTCTAAAAAAAAATACAAAACTGGCTGAAAGCCGCCAGTTACCAGATGCATTTCCTTGGATTATAATGCAATTTCTTGACAGCAGCGCAACACAACGTGCTACAATCCCCCCCCCCCCTGTATTTGACTGCCGTATGTGTGCAGCTGAAAGCCGTTCAGAGCTGCACTGAAACTTCAATCAATACGCCGAGCCACGGACCTATTACTGTTTGTTTTTGAGAGTCGTTTACCTTTCTGTCGCCGCTCACGTTGTTGGTCTTTGTTGATATCGTCGTGGTGCAGCACAACAACCGGTCAAAAATCCTGCTTTCAGATGCGAAGCAAAGTGGCCGTTAACTTTAAATGGAGGCAGGAGGTCGGCGGAGTGGAAGCGGTGAACTAGTGCAGAGCAGAGACTGAGTGAGCGGATCCCTCCTGTCAAGCACCGCCTCAGCTGCTCTGCGCCCTCTGCAAACCAATACACACCCCGTCACACCGGTGTACATCCATCTGCAAGTTGTAAAGCATTGCTCATTGAAATTATGCAACTGTAGCCTCTTGTGCAATTATCATCCTGCTCTCTTAGAGGAAATCAATGCAATATACATCACGGGCTTCATTTTTCAGAGCAATGCTTTTAACAATTGTAGCATTGTCATTGTTTATATAGATCTCTGGTGCAAGTAGCAACCACATTTTTTTAGTGAAGTAAAAGTAGCATTAACACAAATAGTCTGTTACCAGTAGAAGTCTGTTACCCTCAAAATTAAATTCAAATTTTTATTTGAATAAAAGAAGAAGTATTAGCTTTAAAAAAAAAAAAAAACTTACCATTAAACATACCAACCTTACGCAGAATGGCTCATTTCAGAATAATATGTATTATATTATTGGGTTTACTGATGCATTCATATGTACATCACTTTGATGTTGCCGCTTGTAAAGGTGGGGCTCATTTTAACTACTTTATACAATGCTGGGTAACTGGTGAATTTCCCCCAGGGAATAGTTTTATCTTGTCATAAGCTATAATACCACACCATGTTTTATTTGTTGATTAGATTATGTATTATTAATAATAATATACAAAGTAATTAGCAATGAAACTATCAAATAAATGTCTTGGAGTAAAAAGTACAATATTTACCTATGAACTGTAGTGTAGTAGAATAAAATGGAAGTACTCAAGTTAAGTACAAGTACTTCAAAACAGTTCTAGGTTCTACTTCTTTTAAGTACATCTTGTGAATTATACTTAGATATTTTACATAATTAACACTTTTAATGCAGGACTTTCACTTGTTACTGTATTTTTACTGTGTTATTGTAACTTTTACTTCAGGATGTGAGTGCCACAGCATACAGGCATCAAGTATTTGTATTGTACATTTTAAATCAGTAGAAATGTTTTTGGGTAAATTTACATTTCAAATATATTGCTAAACATGTAAACATGTTTGACAGCATGGGGATAGGGACTGCTGTATGACTTGTACCAACCAACCACATCACATAATGAGTGAAGACAATAACAGAGCCACAGCATTTGGTAGAGCACATGATTTCACATTCCACTGACCACAATGGTGAGGGATTAGTCTCCACAATGAGGACGAGGCTGGCAAAAGAGGATAACAGACATGGAAAACATGTGGGTGTCTGGGTTACACAGTGAAAAGGAGTGAGTCAGGTCAGAGCAGTCAGACCTTCCTCCCTGTGCACTTTGTGGTTAAACTTTCATCTTAATTTTCTTAACCTGGAACAACAGCATTTCTCATCCCGCATCTCATTGCACTAATCATGTTATTTTGACTGAAGTCTTTGCATAAAGTATTCCACTGCTGTGCCCTTTAGAGATGAAGCTCCTTATAGATCTCTGATGACATGGTGTGGTAGAATAAGGAACTGCATTTTTTTGTAATAAAGATAAATTTAAAATCAAGTTATCCCAATGAGAAAATGCATTCTTTTGGGATTAAGTTTGACATTTTATTACTTTCTTGTCTGTACAATACAGTACATAACAGACACAAAACAAATAAAAACATTAATAGGGAAAATAATAAAGGGCACAATCCAAACTTTTCTGTTTACTGCACTTGTGTGGGCTTTTTTACCAGAAGTTTGGAGTCTTGTTTGTCTTACTACAGCAAAAAGTGACTAATGGTGAAACATTTTACCTCTCAAAAGCCATAAGAGTGACTTCACAAATATTCTTACAATCTCCAAGCTGTGGTTCTTAGTGAAATCTTAGTGAAATGTCAGTGAATAGATGTTTGCTAACTGTGAAGAATGAGAAGACCAATGTTTATACTTCAGGATCACCTAATACGTAAAGTGAACCATTATGATTATGATTTGTCAAATAAAACTCATTGTACATAGGTATATCCTAAATGTTAAACTTTCAATTTAACTGGACCCAACATACAGACTATATTTACAACTGAGGCAACAAAGAAAACACAAAATCAATTTTTCTTCCTGCAATGAACTTCAAATGCACCGAGAAAGGCAGATTTCCATACATCAAATGGTAACATCTTCAAGCATGTTTGTGTAAAAGGCAACACAATAAATAAAACAAATGGCACAGAAGGTTTGGACAATCTAAACTGAGAAGCACAATGTCTTGTGAAATATTCACACGAACCTAAATACTAAAAAGCAAGCACGCAAAAAAATCTTCCAAGTCAACGTCCCTGCAGACAGTAACACAGGCTGACTAAACAGAACTGAGATAAACAAAAATCACAATCTAATTACAGTAATTGGAATAAGAGAATGACATTTATAATTCAATATAGTATTTGTATTTACAAGCATTTTTACAACTGAGGACATTAAATGGGGGTTCAAGCTTATTACTATATTAGGACATGGAGCAGAACAATCAGATCATATAATGCACTAAATATAAACCTTGTAAACATCACATCTCACCTTTTATCTTAGATATCAGTCAGATTAAGTTTCTATTTGCCAGGTTCATAATGTTTTGTCCTTACTTTAAGGCATAGGTATGAAGCTTAGGAGTCAGCCTCTTATAAGATTTTATTTTAAATAAGCCAGATTTATTCAGAAGGTTTCACTCTACCGAGGAAAAACCTACTCGTCACAGCAAACCCCCAAGCAAAACGTCCCCACTTGTCTCTGGATCAGCTCAGCTAGCTGTACAGTTATAAGATCTCCTCCACACCGTGAGCAAAGATCATAACCAGGCCGGGCTCCAGGATCATATCCTCCCCCATATGCTGATTCTCACAGGCCATCACCACCACTGCCTGCTTGCCAGGGATACGCTTGGCAACGTAGTTCTCATAGTAGCGCCTGTTCATCTGCCGTACCTCGAGAGTGGCCAGTCCCTGCGGCCAGTTACGCTCGTGGGCGTTCTCGATCAGGTCGTTCACAATTGAGAGAGGACAGCCGCTGTCAATGAGGGAGCGTTTGATGACTGCCTGGAGCACAGCATCGGGAGTGGAGATCATGCCACCCCAGCGTGTCACCCTGGCAGGCTGCATGGAGTTCACCCACCTGACAATAGCATAAGGAGTGAAAACCACATGAAAATTAGGGACTGAGCTGCAGCTCCCTGACAAAGTTGATTTTAGAATACCAACTGGGGGTGAAGAAGAAATTTCACTTACTCCAAGATTTCATTGTATTCAATGCTCTCTTCGAGGTTTTGCAGGTTAGGGTTAGCACTGCGGATTGCTCTCATGTAGGCTTTCAGCAGCTGAATGTCTCGTTTCTGGGAATTAAAAGCACCATCTTCAGTGACTGATCTCACAAGATCTCCTAAAGCTAAACAGGAGTTTATGACTCATCAATCTGGCAGCTACCTTGAAAAGCTACACAAAACACAGTAACATATTTCTATCACTTTCTTTGAGTCCGGTATTCTCCTGACTCACTTTTATTGGATTTCTAACAAATGCTTATCCTCAATTTTCTCAGCTGGGCAGATTCCAATTTGGCTAATATGAATACATATTGTAATAGCAGTACTTAATAGGGCTAAGAAATAATTATACACAATTCTTCTTCTTCTCCTTTGTAAAATGATCATGGCAAAACTTTCATATCAAGGTATTGAGGTTTGGTCTCATGTCTGAATGACAACACACACAGCATTAGACCTTAAAAGTAGTAGTCTTAGAAATATGTTCATCACAGAAACAATGAAGTGCGCAGTACCAAAAACAAACACAACATACACAAATCCAATAGAACATATCCAGAGACATGAATCCATATCATCCTGTACCATAGACGTACCACATTCCAATTTAACTGTTCAGGCAAACATTCTAAAAATCAGTACCCAAATGTTTTGAACACTTTATAACCCCGGATCACAAACAGCATTTTAGTGACTGAGTTATAATGCATTACAGCAATAGTCAGTAGAAAACTCAGTCATTATAAAGTGGTTGTTATGGAAACCTGAAATCTGAAACCTGAAAACCTGTTTCACAGACATTTGTAAACAATAGTTTTCAGGACTAGGTCCATAAAGTACTTTGCGGTTAATACGTCAATGAGCATGCAAATGTTCTTACTTGTTCCCCCAACTGGTGTTTATGCTCTGCCACAGTTTTCTCCAGCTCTGAAATCTTCGTCTGTTGCTGCTGGACGACACTCCGCAAATGTTTGATGCAGTTATGGTTGGGGAGCTCATCTTTGGGCATCTCAAGCCTGCAAGAGTGGGAAAGATAGAAGAATAGGAAAGGAAATAGAGGATTCAATCCCACATGATACAGAGAACAGGTCACACATTTTTGCAAATCATGTAATTATAATATTTTACAGCACAAACTTTTGATTTCATTATTCATATCATTAATTTTCTTAGTTCCCAAGTTCTGTTACTGAGGACAGAACTTAGGAAATGTTCAAATGGGTGGAGTTCATAATCAGTGGATCCAAAAGTAACAATGCGGTGTACATTTTATGCCAAAGGGAAGCCACTCACCCACATCCCTCCTCACAGTTGACAGGCCTTTTGGGGTTGTGCTCACAGTCTTTGAGGTGTGACTGCAGCTGGTCCAGCCGCAGTGTGGCTGTGCAGCCAAAGCTTGCATTGTCACAGCTGATCTGGAGTTTGGACAGCATGTTGCGCATGATGCGGGGCACAGGCCGGAGGTGAGCTAGCGTCACTACTGTGCGGTCAACGGGACAAATCTGCTGCTGCGCAAACCACTGTGTTATACAGGCATTGCAGAAAGCATGCTCACAGTGAGGAGCCTGAAATTAAAATGTGAAAACAGAAAATTAAATTAAAAAAAAAAATTCTGATCTAATCATGGGTGGGCGATCTTTCAGAAAGGGACTTGCCTGCACTGGTTCTTCTAACACTCCACTACATATAGGGCACAGCAGGTCTTCATCCACCTCCCCTT